TTGGATGAGCACCTGGGATGGCAACTGTCACTGAGTGTTATTTCTTGGGTAGAGTGTTGGCCTAGAAGATCTCTAAAATCTTCTCCAACTTGGACATTCTATGATTTCCTACAGAAAACATTCAGCAAAACAATGACCAAAAATATGATGACTTCTCACCAGTGATTTCAGTCAACAGCGAAGGCAGATAGAAACAATTCCACTGCTTCCAGCAAGTTTTGTGATATTTTGCTTAAAATGTTTAGCTTAAGATAAAAGTTAATGAATTTCTTTTCTTTTAACATCTCTGCATATATGTTTACAATTGTATCAAATTCATTTTATACCAAATCTGGTCTCTTGGTCTTTCCACTAAATCTGCTTTCTCAAGTGTTCTCAGATAATGCCACCATAACCCAACTTTCCAAGTTAGACATGTCTTCACCTATTCTTCAACTATTCAAACTCCACATCCAGTTTGTCACCACATTCTGTTGAGTCAATCTTTGTAAAATGACAAGTCCTCAAAAAGTTCATAAAAAATTCATATTATCTTTTAACTCTATTTTCCCAAGAACTTTTTGAAGTACCTTTGTATCTTTTAACTTAATAAAGATTTGAGTCATAAGGAAGGAATTCTTTGAATATGCAATTTAGTTCACTTTAGCTCCACTGTATTCTTTCATGCTTTCACCAACTCTTGCCAGAACTACTGCAAAATACCTAAAAATGATCTTTCTAGCTTCAGTTTCCTTTAAAACCAGAGCCATTTTGCCATATCTTGTTCAAAGACTACGGTTTGAACTAAGACTAGCTCTCAAAGCCCTTTCCGATCTGGCCTAACCAAATTCCCAGCTTCTTCTCCTACCACTCGCTGACATATACTGTGCTTCAACAGGAGTCTTACTTGCTGTGCCTTGAGTGTGTCAGGCTTTTTTAGTACTCTGCTATTTATACTGTTCTTTTTTTCCTCCTTTCCTTCCTAGCAAAAATCTCTCCAGTCAGTTTTCAGGGATGTGGACTAAGAGGTTCAATACTATATTGCTGGTGGCAACATACATTGATCCAGTCTTGAAAATAAAAGTCCTAATAAGGGAAAGAGAAAACTGCCCAATGCCTCTGGAAAAAAAGATTTAATGTGGGGGACTATATTTGGAGGACATTCTCCCCTTACTCTTCTCACATCAAAAGTGGTAAGCTTCAATGAAATAATTCATGCATATAAAGCTCTTAGCACAGGTCCTAGCACATAGCAAGCATTCGATAACTATTAATCACTGTGGTTGGTATTTTGATAATTTACAATGTGTTCTTGCTGTGAATATTATTTCTACAAATACTAGAGATAGAGGTGTCTAAGATTAATACCAATCAAGTTTCTACCTGCATGAATTAATATTCTAACAGGGAAAGAGACATTAAAGAAAAAAAATCAAAAATACAATTTTGGAGAGGGGTTAAGTGCAATGAAGACAATAATACAGAGTAGTGGTACAGAGAGAGGAGTTGAGGCTATTCTACATAGGGTAGGTCAAGTAAAACGTTTCTGAGGAAGTGACATTTGAGCTCAATGACAAAAAGGAGTCAGCCCCGCAGAGGCCTGGGGTAGCTTCTTAAAAGGAAATACCATATGCAAAGGCCCTAAAATAAGAAGAGCTCAGTGTTCACTGACTGACAAGGAAGAAGCCTGGTGAGGCTGCAGGGTAGTCAAGGCAGGATGAGCAGCGTGCTTATGTACCTGTGTACCATGCCCCCTGAGAAGATGTTGGTGAGTCTGGCAGGGGATAGAGCTCATGGGACATACTCAGGACTCTAGAGCTTATTCTAATTGCAATGGAAAGCCATTGGAAGATTTTAGTCAGGGCATATGGTCCTCCAGTGGCTGAGTATAGAATATACTGAGTAGAAGCTGAGGACAGTTATGAGGCCATTGGAGTGTCCAATGGAGGGACTAAAAACCAACTCTAAAGTAGGCCACTGACCAAAAATGGATTGGTGCTGGGGCTGAGAATGGGAATTAACTGCAAATGGGCAGGAAAGATCTTTTTTGGGTGATGGAAATTTTCTAAAACTGAATTATGGTGCTGACTGCACAACTCTGTAAATTTATTAAAAATCACAGGATTGTACACTTAAAATAGGTGAATTTTATGGTATGTTAATTATAACTCAAAAAATCAGTTTTAAAAAAAAAGCAGATTGAGGGAGTGAGAGTGGGAAGTGTAAATTAGCTGCCTGGGTCCCAGAAGTGAATCCATTAAACCTGAACAATGCCAAAGTGTCTTCATCCCAGGTGACTAGAGGTTGCTTTTAGCTAGATTTTAATACCCCCTCACATGGAAGCACTTCTACATTCCCTTTTTTCCCCAGGCCTGGAACTCAATCCCCTGGTGTCTACAACTCTTATTTGATATACACTAGAGGGATATCCAATAATGACTTAGCTAAGGACAAAGCCTAAGTCATTTTTTACCTTTATTCTCTTTAGCCAGAGCAAATAAAGTGCTATATTAATAGGAATACTTTAAGTGCTTTAAAAAATTGCTTTAAGTGTTAGCAAAACAATTGCTTTCAGTGCCTCTTTCCTGTGCACCACTTACTTTCTTTTCTCTTCCAACCAGATTTCCCATTCAAATCATTTCCTTGGGATTTACAGGATTCAGGAAACTATATAGTGGTCTCCACTACTACACCCACTACTGACCTAGCTGGAGAGCTTTATAACATTCACCAAAACAGGATTCTATGTACTACACCCACTACTACCACTACACCCACTACTGACCTAGCTGGAGAGCTTTATAACATTCACCAAAACAGGATTCTATGTGATTTATGAGCACACCATATGTATTAGTATCCTGGAGTCACCATAAGAAATTACCTCAAACTTGCTGACTTAAAACAATAGCAATTTATTCTCTCACAGTTCTGGAGGCTAGAAGTACAAAATCAGTCTCATAGGGCTGAAATCAAGGTGTTGACAGGGCTGCACTCCCTCCAGAGGCTCTAGGAGAGAATTTTCTTGCCTCTTCTAGCACTGTTGTCTGCCAGCATTCCTTGACTAGTGGCCACATCACTCCAGTCTCTGCCTCCAATGCTCTTCTGTCTGCATCAAATTTCCTTCTGTGTCCCTCTTAATGAACCTTGTGTTTGAATTTAGGGCCCACTTAGATAATTCATGACAATCTCCTCATTTCAAGATCCTTGACTTAATCACACATGCAAAGACCCTTTTCCCTTATAGGACAACATTTACAGGTTCCAGGGATTAGGACCTGATATTTTTGAGCAGATATTATTCAGACTATATGATATAATTTGGGACCATCTACTTTGAGGACAAGTGGTGCACAAGAGCCCCTATTTAATAAATAGTGGAGTTTTAAAGTAGGTCACCCTAACGTACTAGACAACGCTGAGTCCTCAGTGTAAAACAATAATAAAGGCTTTGCATACATACCAAATAAATTGTGGTCAACTTTCCTCAATTTACTTTGGGAGTATAATACTATCTCTATGGCATGAAAACCATTTTGCTCACAACATAAACAGATAACTGTGGAAGAGAGGTGGGAGAAGCAGATCTCTCCCACGACTCTACCCGGGACCGGATGACCTTACACAGCGAAGCAGTCCTGCCAAGCTGGTCCCTGGGATACAGTGGAAGCCCTGGCTGGCTCTTTTTCCCTGAATCTACTGCTGAGAGAAGCAGCAAGAAGTGGTTGCCAGTCAAAAAAACCCTGACAAATGGCGGCCTCACTTCTCTCCTACTTTTTCCTGACCTTAAAGTACAACATTGAACAGCCTGAGTTGGGACCTGGAGCAGAATTTTGTGTAAACGGATGGAGACTTTGGGGGTTCGAGTTTCTGACTGATGCTGATAATGGGGGCTCAGACTTCTAATGTGGATTAGAGAGAGGCTAAGCTCAAAGGGCCTTTGTACAGCATTTAGTACAATCAAATGCTGACCAAGAGGATGGTGACTGTCCGAGGCTAGACGTTTCTCTTTATCCCCATCCATTCCCTGTGTCCCCCAGAAGCGGGATAGGAACCGGAGTTAGCAGTCACGTTGAGGCGGGATCCGCGGATATTCCCACGAATCAAATAACTTTGCACACGCCCCTATGGTTTTCGAGGCCCCGGTTTTACCGCCACCGTCCCTGGAGGTCTTAAGATCCACGAAAACCACAGCAGTGCATTCCCTTCACAATTCGCTAGGCATCTACCATGTGCCAAACAACCAAAGGCGCTGGAAGAAAGGAACGAGCTGCTGCCAGTCCTCTGGGGAACGGCCTCCCTCTTCCCCTGTCCCCAGGCCGCGCCCCGCTGCTGTACCTGCGACCACCACCTTATCCTAAGAGACCGGCCGCATCTCCGCGGGGCGGGCGGGCTCGGCGGCCGCAGCTGCGTCTACCGGGCGGCGGGGGACGGGACGGCTCCCCACTCTCCGCCCCTAGGCCCCGCGGCGGCGGCGCCCGAC